GGATGTTCGACTACTTCGACTACTGAACCAAATAACCTTCATAAACTCCATTTTGACAAATTCCGGTAAGGAAACAGTCTTCGATACGCGGAACATGTTTGAGATGATGTCCTCTGGAGAGTAGCCCATTCTGCAATTTTTGCAAATTTTCTTTCGCAGATGATGACGTTTGGTTTTATAGGCTGTTAAACCGCTGCTGTACAGTCTTGCATTCTATTTCCGCTGCTGTACAGTCTTGCATTCTATTTCGAAAGGCAATTTGATTGTAATTAAAAGCAGTAAAGAAAACGGATGATATGCTGCTGATAGATTGAAATTTTCTGTGCTTCTGAATAGATGCGAGTGATGAAAATGAAAAACAAATGTCACTACTCAGCGTTTCTCTGGATTAAATTGTAATACACACTTAGTGGTGAGTTTATAAACGGACCTGAAAAAATCGTGAATGATTTGTGCAGCTTCCTTGAACTTCTGCTCGGCGCAAAGTGTGAGCATATTAGCCATTAGCTGTGGATGAGGCTCGTCACAAACCTGGAACAAATAGAGTCATTTCCATCTGAAACACCCGTCGTCTTAGTCAAACTTTACCTTCAACACATTGTCTGCGGACACGAAATCGTAGGCAGATACAGTACATTGCAGGTTGTTCAGGGCCTGGAAACCCATTTTAGTTCCACAACATTAAAAAAAAAGAAAAACAAAAACAAACCTGTCGCATATCTCCTTGCGCTGTGAACAGGAGAGCATTGATTCCTTCGTCATCATAGCTGACCTAGAAAGTGCGGCAAAGTGGTTTTTTTGTCGATAAAACGAAGACCTGAAACGGCCCACGTTCGATGAAACTCACTTTTTCCGCTTTACATACTTCTTCGAGTCTGTGGGCTAACTGTGCGTCGGTGAGCTTGTGAAATCGCAGGATAGCACATCGAGACTGCACCGGTTCTGAATAGATGAATAACTCTAACTTTCGGAACGATATTCGACAGAACAGAAAAGAATTCCATCATCGAAAGCACGAAAAAGGGAAACTCTCTATCAACTTCCGCGATTCGAATAATCGGTTCGTAATGCAAAACAGCCAATGTCAGCAAAGGTTATGTAAAATGATACAGCCATGTCACTGCACGGTTGAGTTGATTCGGCTTCTTGTTTTATAATCCCAACGAGAGGGTAGATGAAGAATGTTGATGCAAAAGGCATGAGACAAGGAGCCAAGCTAACCGTACTCTCCAAATTCTGAGATTCTCTACGATATACAATGAACTTCATGTGAGGAAAGAGTGTTCTAATCTAAAAGAAAAGGAGAGGTAAGCTCAGGGAGGTTACCCCTAATATAACACAATAAGTAGCATTGGGAGCACTGAGAAAAGTTGAAAGAAAAATAAACATGGTTATACCGATGATTTTGTCAGACTGATTGCAAGCCAGGGCGAAGCGGGTCGTTTCGCTGTAGTTTTCCATTATACGCCGTAAAGCCTTGAACACAAAAGAGAATTTCGTGCGTAGCTTAATGAAATCTGGAAGCATGAAGGCGTAATTCTGATACCTGCTGTGCTCCCTCTGTCATCGAATCTGCCTCATCCAGAATTATTAACTTTTGACGCTTGGGTGGGAGGGTGACTTTTGTTTGACAAAATGTCTTGATTTTGTTTCGCACAACGTCAATTCCTCTGAAAATGACCCTTTGTCAACATTATTCCATAGTGATGACTACGAGAAGTTCCCTCCAAATTTCATCCGATGAGAAGTTGAACATGTGCGCAAGCTTATTCCATGAGCTTGCTTCAAGTTCTAATTAGCTAATTAGTACAGTTAAAGGAGCAGAGTAAACATTGGCTCGGTAATGCTCTGACTAGTTCAATGTCGTTATCGGTTCTTTGGGAAACCCGCTTCCACTCAGGTATACTGGATCAAGCTAGTTACAGCCGACAAATCGAAAAAAAAAATACTCAGTTTGATGACCGCACTCTCTAGTATGTTGCAATTTGTCACAGAAAGAAGGTGGGCCGTAGGAGCGGCCCCCCTTGAACAGCCCATAATAGTATCGCAAATACTTTAAAGTAGTCATTGATTGATTTCACCCAGGCACATCGATAAGTCAAATAAATAAATTGTGGAACGCTGTCACTAACCACCAGTTCTTCTTCAAAATTACCAACGGCTATGGAAATTGTTCATAACTTTCTCACCGATCATCAGAAGCATTCAATTCGAGTACGCCGTTCTTCACGTGTTCCCCTAGTGATTCTCGTGCCATTGCCCAAATAGCCGTCGTTTTCCCACAGCCAGGTGGTCCCTTCAAGGAAATCAGATAAACAACTCAAGCTCTATCCTACTTTATATAATTCGCTAAGTGTGTCTGTTGGTGTGTCGGTGTGTGTGTTTGACCGGAAATTCATAACTCCTGTTCCCGTGGACCTAGAGCGCTCAAACTTGGTAGAAGTACGAGGGGCAGGAAGGGAACACTCATGGCAGGTAGCAGGACCGGACTTCGCCTACAGGGGGCGGGGCGTGTGCGATAGAAATTTC